TAGCGAATCAAAGTAGGTCGTTTTGACAAATAAATAGAAATACCAAGTCGAAAGGAACCCTCTTCTCCGTGAATATTAGCACAAGTAAATATGTTGTTATCGACCGAATAAGTATTTTTTTATTTCCCAGATATTCTTTCTATCAGCGTGGAATTCAAGGGTTCAAGAGAGGGCTCAAGAGAGAAGTTAATGAGTATCGGTGTCGTCCAAGTAGACTTTCACTAAGTCTACGAACCGTCTGAAGTAGGCGCGAACTGTCCTCGAGAGCGTCAGAGTGGCGTCAGAATTTCGACTCGGTGACGCTGTCGAAGCGAACAGTCCGTCGTTGCAAGAAGCTAATTGCGCTCGCGCGAGCGGGCGGGCGCGTGCGAGCTGCGGCGTCTAAGCGCGTACGGAGGAATCTTTAACAATTTATTTTCGGATCCCGCCCTTGAACGGAGGGAAAAAAGAGTTGCTCTAAAAATACAGCACACAGGCGCGAACGCGGGCGGTGTGCTTTGCGAACCATGAAAAACGTATCGATCAGCGTGATGCGCGCCCGCAATCACCGCTTATCGCGCCATCCTGGGACAGTCGTCGATCCGAGGCGACGCGTCCGCGAGAACAGAGCTGATTCTTGAGACGCTTTTTAAGCCGCGCGTTGCGTTACGCACATTAGCCGATCGACCCACGCTACTCGTTCCGTTAATGCGCCGTCATTACGCGGCGGAGCGTGCGGGCGTGTACCTTCTTCTTCCGCGCGCGAATCACGCCGATTCCGCGTCGCGGAAGCGACCTGACGAGCGGAACCTCCTTCAACGGCTGGCCAACGATCCGATCCGCGGTGTCCCGGATACAGTTTGTCTAATAAAAGCGTGACCGACATAATTTTTAAGCTGTTTATTATAAAAAAAAAAAGGGTAAAAAAAATTACATATGCAGAAAAAAAGGTTTCCTTAGATTTAGTGTATCTATTAATTTGACGTAAGTTTGTTGTCATAGAAACGACATATGCGAAATATTATTTGTTCGAGTGAAAATTTTACTGTCTCATTCAAGAAAACTCAATTACTTGACAGAAAGAACGCTATTATTTGGAATAATATTTTTTAACCGAACAAAATATTATTTGGTCGCAATAAATATGTGAAATGAAATTTGTTTGGAATGCGATACAATTCGTTAAATTCGAAGAGATCTTTTTCTCGGTGTACGTAGTATTCAATCGGTATTATAACGTTTTTATATTAACAAATCGTCCGATCATCGTCGTTGTCAAATACTGCCTAACATCTTCGAGGTACCAATGGAAAAAATACACTTAGTAATCACTATTCTTAGCGGTGGAATATTTTTCTCTGTGTAGAATTAAAGTCCAAGAGCTCCCTTCACTCGGTAACTCTTGAACTACAGGGGGGAGTGGGACACGTTGCGCCGGCCTCGTCTATTAATTTTTCCTGCGAGATGGATGACAAAAGAGCGCGGCGCAATATCATCGATAACACACAAACAGGTCGAGCATCAACAGTTACGTAAGCCTGATAAGCTACCGAGAGAACAAATCGTCAGGAAACAAAACGCGAAAACAATTCAAAGCTTAAGGACGTGTTACCTATTAGTGTCGTGTTTTCAGTAGCATATTAAAGGGGCCACTCATAAATTTAATATTTACGAAGCAGAATGATTTTCCTATACATTTATTTCACTACCTAAATAACAAAAGTTAACTGCTGTCAAACTTTTGGTGACACTTAAATGCAGGGCGGGTCAATTTCTAATTTTTTCATTATTTTGACTTACGGGTAACACATCTTTAATATAGTCTCTAACAGCGGTTCGATATTTATATCATTTTCTTTTTTTACGTGATCGCGATACTTTCGTAACACTTCGCATTGTGAACCGGGTGTAGGTTAGTTATATGGTCGCGAAATTACACGGAAGCTGAGATTACAACGACAGGGGAAAAATATGACCGGTACACGAGAGAGTTTTATTACACGTGCTGCGTCATTTGAGCAATTAATGTCTCAATTTATATCAGACGTGCATCATTTAGCGAAATAATATCGGCGATGCATGACCTCCCGTCGCTCGAAAATTATTTGAGGAATTTGACATTTATTTAACAAACATTTCACGGACAGAATACGAATAGCATACAAACACACACGCGCCTGCGCGATAATCAGTTATCAAGAATACAAAAGGGGGGGGGGATACATATTCTTTGTATAAATATTATACAACACATTAAACAGCAGAAATATATAGTCCGCCTTTTTCCCGGATAATCCGAGTCGAAATTTTGGCCCCGTGTTGAACCTTTAATTCTACAACATAGTAGGCTCTAAGACAACACAATAGATTCAATTTCAATACTAATAATATAATATAACCCTTACTTTGACCCTGATAATGTAAATAATGATGTAAATAAATCTTAAATTTCTGTCTTCGCTGTTTTAGCGTTAAAATAGAACGACGAAGGTAGTGTTAAAATTCGATCTGTAGAATTGAAGGTCCAAAGGGGAAGTTAAAAAATATCGATATCGTGAAAGTAGGTTTTCATTAGTCTACAGGCCGTTTAAGTAGGCGCAAGCTACCTTTTAAGAGCGTCGGAGAAGCGTCAGAATTTCGGCTGGGGAGGCCCGACAGATAAGTCTGCATTTATTACCGCGCAAGGATCGAAGTGCATCGCGACTCACCATTCCGACGTGTACTCGCACGTCACCTGCACCTGCACCGTCTCCTCATCCTCATCCTCTTTCTCCTTCCGCTTATGATACACGCACGATATTCGCTCGTTACGTATCACCACGCGTCTCTTAATTCTCAGCCAGTGCAACGCGACCTCGTAATTCCTCAGGAGGCGATTCTTGCAGCTCTGGGAGATCTTCAGCGCCGCCGAAATGTTCTCCTTGCTGCTGTACGGGCTGTACCGGCGCATTCGCGACCTCATTTTGCGAGCAGTTTCGTTCATCTCGTCCCGACCGTCTCGATCGCGATGTAATTCGTTTCTTTTTCTTTTTTCAAACAGTCGAAGAGAAGAAGAAGGAAAGAGAAGCAAGTTTCCCGCACAGAGCTCGGCCGGGAGGTTCGAATCATGAAGGATCCCGAAGCCCCCGCTGACTCGTTCCGCTCTCTCGGCCGCAAACGGATTGCGCCACCGAGGACGCGCGTCGCATCGTATCGTTTTCTCCGTCCGGCGAAATTCACGAGAGGTTAGAGACTAGAGTCCGGACGGCGACTGCTGATCAACGGGGCGCGCGATAAGGGAACGGCGCTCCTGTTATCAGCGCGAACGATACGAGAATACGGGAACGCGCGCGGCGCGCGGCTTCGTTTGACGGGACGGCTCGTGCGAGCCAACTTCGCGTTCTCGCTCGTCGGCGGTGGCATCCCGAACACGCGCGGACACCTGTGCACGACGCGTTCACGCACCTGATGCTCCCCGCCGATTACACGAGCGTTCGGTCGTCGGTCGAGTTGTTGATGCGTAGAAATTGAATTACGCGCTCATATTACGGGGATTAAACGGTATCGACCATCGCTGAGTCCACTCGTTATTGTAATCCACTCAATCGCCGCGATCAGTCCCGATAAAGAACGCGCGAATTTGAGGCCTGTACTTTCGCTAATGCGAGCCGGAAACGGGAAATCAATGGGCGCTCGCGCGATTCTAATTGCAATATCGCGAGCCACGTCGATTTCGTCCAGCCGCGGAATTGAGCGGCGCGCGATCCTCTCGACGGTGTGAAATTTGTAGAATCGGCAAGTTAGAATTACATCCGGCGGATGATTAAATCATTGGAAATTGGGTCGTTAGGAAATTAAATCGTTGGAAAATTGGGCATCGTTGGTATTAGAAAGGGATAGAAATAGAAAATTCAATATTTGGGAAAATGATAAAAGAATAGAAATATTAGAAAAAAATAGAAATATTAGAAAGGAATGGAAATATTAGGAAGGGATAGAAATAAAAGGAATGAAACGTTAAATTTTTAATTATAATATTTTCGCTGATGCGAATCTAACGGAAAATCAATAGACGCACGCGAAATTCTAACCGAACATACGTGAATTTTTCCAAATTAACTTTTTCTACTCGTGAGAAAAAAACCCCCCAAAAAAACTCTGGGAAAACAGGAAAAAGCGATTTATTTATTAATAAATATTATAAATTGGAATAAATCTATTCTTTAAAACTATAAAATTAAATCTCTAGAAAAAATTACAAATGAATAGAAATAGACTCAATCTTTAAATATTATTATTAAATAATTTACCGTTTTATATATATATATATATATACTTCATTTTATTCTATGCCGCACATTCTGAGAACGCGGAATGCTGAAATGTCGCGAAAACCGAATGATAGTTGCGTAAGAGTCATTCAGCCAAGGGGGAAAGAGAGAGAGAGACTCGTAGGATATTTATTTTGAACTTGCCATTACTGCGCGTTGATTAGAATCTTTACGCGATACACAATCACGCCACGTATACGCCACGCGCGTCGCGTTCATTCATAAAGTCGTTCGCTCACTACGAAGGGATTGGTAGATATAGAGAGCGAAATATTCGGTCGGTGTTTCATCGACGGAATATTTATTTCCAGTTAGCATTTAGACATTGTAATTAATATTCGTAACGGTGTTATCTTTAGCGGTCTCTTCCTACGAAACGCTTGCATGAACAAACGTTAAGGGTAATTAAGGTTTACGGGCATTCTCTATTCTTGCTTAATTTCGTCCGATTAATTTTAACCTCCCAGTTGCTGTGTCATTATAGTGGATACCAGAGAGTAACTTTGAAACAACTTGAGATTCTTTAGTCCTCGAGTTATTCCTGCAGGAAACCGGTGATCGATAATTGATTAAAAAATAGTCTAATTTGCGCGAAAAGAAAGTCTGACAGCTGAAGAGGATTGATTTACAGGAATTTGCGTGCGCGCGCACGTACGGTTTCCCGTTCGCCGACGATGCAATCTACGGAGAAATAACTGTTCGTTCACTCACCCATTGACGATGGAAGCGGATTCATCGGCGTTAGATGGGCCCGACACCTGGACCTTGGGCACGGCATAACTGTCCAGCTGTCCGTGGCCCTGTTGTTGTTGCTGCTGATAATTGGCGGTGGGGTAGTCATCGCTGTCGCTGCTCGGCGGTTGCTCCGATCCGACACCGCCACGAGGTCTGGAACAGAATGAGACAGCGGATGTCGGTAGATGCGACGGAAGAAAAGGTTTTGTTCAGATTTAGCATCCCTATTTATTTGACTAAAACTTGCTGTCATAGAAACAACACACGCGAGATATTACTTGCCCGAGGCAAAATTTTATCTTCTCATTCAAGAAAACTCGATTGTTTAACCGAAAGAACGCTATTATTTGAAATAATATCTTTTAACCGAATAAAATTATTATTATTCGGTTGCAATAAATATGCATGTAAAATGCATGTAAAATGAAACGAATAATTTTCTTTATGAGAAAATTATTTTTCGTTTCAAACAAATGTTGTATCTAAGATAAAGATACATATTCGTTGAAAAGTCTAACAATCGTATTTGTTAATCGAAACGTTAGTTTCTTTATCAATGATGAGATTTGTTTGGATGCGATGAAATTGATTAAATTTAAAGAAATTTCTTTCTCAGTGCGGAAGAAGGTGACGTGAGGCATCTCGATAAATAATCTCGCGCTCGAACTCCGAGTACTTTCAATAAATATTATACGTGGATTTTGATTGAGGAATGAAAGGAACTTTTGCGTCAACTCAATATATTCCTACTTATATATGAGAATGAGTCTTGAATTGATATTAATTTTTTTCCGTGTAGAGAAATTGATCGAATCCTCCTCCGTCACGGTTCGAGAGAACGACGGGTGGAAGAAAAAGACGCAAGGCATTTCGAGAAATCTCCTGTCTTTTCTTCTCCTTCTGCCGAACCGAACGTTTCTTATAACCGGGGCAATAATCGCGTTCAAAATTCTCGCTTCTGCGAAATGTTTCATCTATCTATTTATTTATCATTCGTGCGAAACATTTATCATCGCGGGCAGAAATATCGCGCATCTCATCTCGGGCACTCGAGGCGAAACAGTGACGAGACCTTTCTGATAATATTTAATGAGACTGATCAAATTGGCTCGCTCTGTCGCAATTCAAAGGTCGACGGGGAGGTCGAGGTTTCAATCGGATTCCGCGATTCCGCGATCGATTGTTTCATAGGCGTGTGTTCTGCTCTCTTTCCTTTCAGCACACAAGATATAAAAAGGGATACGTATTGATCCTACCGGAGACGAGAAATTGCACAGTGTGTCTGCGGCGCGTCCCGTGTACTTCAAACGCGTTACAGACGCATCGGAAACTGAGTTTCGGTCGGATCTACCTGACAAACCAAACGCGTTTCGGTCGAAGGGAACAGAATTTCTGGCTATACACGGAAAACAAATCAGCTCCCGCAGCTAAAAACTAGTCGTCCATATAATACAACAAATTTTTGCTGTCGCTATATTAACAAACAATTTGTTGTTCCAACGAAACTCGTTTTCTCCGTGCGCGGAGACTCGAAATTCGAGTGTCGAAGCTTTCGGAAGGAAATACCAGCCCTAGTTTTTGGTTGTGACAGCTGATTCTTTTTTCCCCGTGTAAGAACCAAATTCGTAGTTCATGAGAAACTAGAAATTTTGCTTCCTTTAATCAGAACGCGTCTGGCGTGTCCATGGTCAGGTACATACAAGCGAACTCCTCTTTTCCGTGCGCGCGTACGAAAATTAGGGAAAATTGGGGGAAAAATAGGGAGGCGAGGTGTAACGCGCAAATCTTCGTCGCGCAAGATATTCTAAATACGGAAAACTGCGAGACTGAAAATATTCCGACTTTGCCACGGGAAGCATTTCAATTTCTCCGAGCTGACTCTCGGACATATTCCAGACACGACGACAGACAGACAGACAGACGGATAGTCAGTCAGTCCGCAAACGTCACTACCAGCTGCTGGCAAGCGCTGGCAAAGCGCAGGCAAAGCGCGACGGATCCTATCGGGACCCTCGAATCGGATAACCGAATAGTCCAGTTAACTAACCCGCGCGTAATCGACTCCATCTCGGTCAACGGCGCACGGACGGTGCACGATGTGCCTCTTGATAAGAGAGGAAAGATTGCAATCTCTCCCGTGGAACGCGTCCATCGTTCATGTGTCACCGGGGCAATTTTCGCTCGTGAATCGGCTCGCTCGAGGCTTCCCGTGCATGCCGAGCGGTGCAACGTTTACGATGCGCCTTAAGCGGGGTCTACAATGAGAATTTGAGGCGTGAGATTTAAGAAACTGACCAATCATAATTGCTTAGTTTTTCTTCCGTAATTCAACTTGCGATTGGTCAATTTCTCAAGGCTTAGAGCTTGAAGGCTTAATCTATTGTAGACCGGGACTTAGTCCTAGTCTACAATAGGCGCTTTAAGCCTTAAGCCGTAAGAAATTGACCAATTACAATCGAATTATAGAAGAATGATCAATTGTGATCGGTCAATTTCTTAAGATTTAAGGCTTAAAACTCTATTGTAGACCTAGCCTTAGGAACGTCCGATTAATTTAACAACATTTCGTGCACTGACGTGTCTTTTACTAATTCGTACGTATAAATTTTGCAATCGTTCGTTCCGATTTTCATCCGGTATATTCCTGTGTGTCGTCCGTTTCGCGCAGAGAGAGAGAGAGAGAGAGAGAGAGAGAGAGGCGCGCGAGAGTTACACACGATCGCGGAATCGATCGTCCTCAACTGGCTGGCGTTTCGCCAGTGCGGGCGCATTATTATCCGGAAGTATATTTCCGGAACGACGATGCACGCTCAGCCATGAGCTCAGGAAGAATTATTCGCGAGTCCTTAGCGCATGTTCCAGCTCGTGACACACACCGACGCGACAATTGAAAGTTTCTTTTATGGAATAAATGCGTCTCGAGAGAGAGAGAGAGAGAGAGAGAGAGAGTCTCGACGGACAGACAGGAGCTACCCGGATAGCATAAATTACTGAAAGAAATCTGAGAAACATCTGAAAAAAGTCGGACGTCTTTTCAGTATATTGAAGACACCGTCTATTGAGACTGTATTCACAGTCAGATATCTTATATTTATGATCGTCTTGAGTTGATCTTCAGACCCGAGTCGAGAAATTTAACTGCTATTGTGCAGTCCTTTGATGTTACAAATAAGAAGTTATTGCCGTTTTCTCCATTTCGAACTTAATATAGAACTGAAATTTCGACTCGGTCGTGCTGTATGGCTTTTATTAGCTTACGGAGCATCTGAAAATGCACTTAAGACGCACCTTAAAGATCATGCGACCATGAATATCGGTCTTAGAGGTAGCTTCTACAGCCCGTATCCACAATAGATATAGCATAGGCTTTCTTCAGCCTATTTTTGCTCTGAGCAATGCAAAATGCAACGTAATTGCTCTGAGCAATGTAAAATGCAACGCAATTTCTGACAAAAGGCGTTTTCCGCGCTGCTAAAGCTAATGTGCTCTTCGCGTCTTGCTTCCTATCCTTCTTCTGTAAGAAGATTTCTATTTCTTCTGTAAGAAGATTCTATTTACGTATAAAAAAGAGATAGAGAGCAAGAGCAACAAGACACAAATTGTAGACCAAGCTTAAAAGTCGCGACAACGCTTAAATCTTTCGAAATTGCTACGTCTGGTAGTGCCGGAAACGCATTTCTCTAGAAATTACGTTACAATTTAGCGCTTCAAGCAGAAGGCTTAAAGGTTTGCTTCCCAGGCAGCGCAATGTGTCCAAAATCGGGATGTGAGGCGTCTTGAAGACGTCTTATGTCCCGACATTGGACGTTGCACCGGGTATTGTGGACTCGGACTCATCCCTCATGTAGCATCGAGCGTAATAGTTCACCCTGATTCATGTCTCGCGTTAACTTCGACAAGTAACGACGGCGATAACCGACGACGACAATCATATTATTCTGCCGGCGGACCGACTCGAATCCAATTCGCTGCTCCGAAGAGACACTTCTTTCGAGACCCGACAAAATCGAATAGTTTTCCCCGAACGTTACAGTCGCCACGGAGAAAACAAATTTTTCCGGAACAGCAAATGCTCGTCAACTCAGTGACAGCAAAAAGAAATTTCTTCGGGCAGCCGAGAGATTCGTTAAGAGTATTAATTGCTACATGGACAATTAACGGCCTTAACGAATCTCCCTGCCGACCGAACAAATTTTTCGCTGAACAAATCTTTCCTCGCTCTCACTATGATGACAAACATTCGCCTGGCAAAATCTATTACCTCCGTGCGATTCTCTCGGGGTGGGCGCAGCGCTGTCGCGACTCGAGCTGCGCAAGAAGTAACGCCGTCGGTCGCACTTCCGGATAGCCGAACAACGTATTCGCGTGTCAAGGGATGAGTGTTTAGTCGATCGAGCGAGTGACAGGTCTCGGGATTGTCTACGATTACCACACGGCCGTGTCACGGGATACCGGATGGAAGAGGGCCCCGGGACGTCGGAAACGGGGGAAACTCGAGCACTCTCGCACGACGAAGTTCAAGTGAGCCCCGGCCTACGTTCGCGCGGCCTTCGCTCGCACCTGCGGTGAGCGTTATCGTAGCTGGCAGTCCAGTAGAGAGGCGCCACTGTCCCGCCGTTGCTGCTCTCACAGCGGACACATGCAAAGTCGAGCTGGAACTGGGCCTCTTGCTGCCTCACGCGCGCGCGCGCGCGCGACAGAGCGAGAGAGAGAGATAAGCGCGGCTTCAATTATTCCAATCTTCCCGCATCCTCCTTCCGTTTCTCGCCTCGTCGGGAGCGCGCGTCATGCGACCGCCGACGGCCACCTAAAGCTCAAGGTATCAGATCTCTCTCTCTCTCTCTCTCTCTCTCGGGTCGCAGGTAGCGTTATATCAGCCGGACGGCGCGCGCGTGGTCGAGATCTCCCCTCCGGAAGACGTCGGCACCCTCTCGGGACGGCGATCCTCGTCCACGTAGCTGCTCTCCTCCTCCTTCCCGAGGAGGAGGCCTCCCGATTTCCAATCCCCCGGAGACTCCTCTGGAAACCTCCTGCCGACGAGTCGAAGAATCACCGGGAGAGTCTCGCCGTCCGTCGACCACCACCGAGTCGCGATTCGTCCATCGAGCGAGTTCACCAGGAGTCGGGGGACTCCGCACTATCTGCGGCGAGATACACCACGAGATGGAGGATGGATGGACGGCGTCGCGCGCCTCCTCCGTCGCTCCGTTCCTCCTCTTTCTCGTCCGCTGCTCGGCGTTGCTGCTGCCGATCCGACCCGTCGACTCCCGAGAAGAGGAATACGGCAATGCGGCGCGCGAAGCGAGCGTGGAGCATGCGAGAGCCGCAGTCCACGCTGCTGCTGCTGCTGCTACTCTCCGCGCGACGACGCTCTCTCGCCGCGGCGCTTACGCGGTGGCTGGTGGGTGTACGGTGGTACGTACGTACGTGTGCGGACCGCGCGACGTGGTGTGCCGGCTCGCACACGCACGCACGAGGCGCGCGCGCGCCAACCAGCCTGGTACCGTCGCGTCTGCGCCGCGCGAGTCACCTATTGACCGAATATCATCGCGATAGGTATATACCCGGTGATACACGCGCGGGCGCGTAAGTGCCGGCGTGAGAGAACAAAGCTCGCCTCCTCTCTTCGCTCGCTCACCACTTCCAAGTGAGAGGCTCTCTCTTTCTTTATCTTTCCTTTTCCGGACCGGCATGATGAGGAGCGCGCGGAGGAAGTCCGTGTCATCTCGTCGGCGACCGCCTCGGAGATCGTCTGCGTTTGTGAAATCGCCGACCGGCGAACCTCGCGGATCATCCTGTTCGTCACGCGAGGCTCGGCTGCATCATCGACTTCATCGTCGGGTGTTATCGGCTCGAAAATAGCGCGATCGGCGATCTTGTCGGGCGATAATATCTTCACCCTTCACCTTTTACTTTAGGACGGGAGATTCGTGCAATCGATCCTCCGGTTAAAAGGGCCTATCCCATTGTGCGCTCATCCGTCGCTCTGTGTTCCCTCCGTGCTGCCCTTGGAGGATTCGTTGTCTACTTTCCGTTTTCCTCCTCGTGGGAGGGAGGGAGAGAGAGAGAGAGAGACGCATTCGCTCGCTCTCTCTCTCTCTTTCTCTCGCGTTACGTCGCGACGGCACTCTTTGTTACGTCGATCGTCGTCTATTTTCCCTCGTCAACGCGTTCCTCCGCGTCACTAGCCATGTATTATTCTCCTCCGTCGCGCGTAATATACCTCGAGAACATTCTTTATCCCGCGGCACCTACGCAGCCAATAAATTCCGCTCGTGGAAATCGAGACTGCCGGACTCGCACGCACTTCCTCCCCCTCCTTATCCGAGTTCGATTTTTCAGCGCTCGGAGGGATACACCGCCCTTTCCACGGTAGGGCAGATTTTCACCTCTCCTCTCCTCTCTGTTTAAACGACGACAGCAGCGAGACGAGACGCGTGCATCGTCACAGTCCATCGCTACTATGTTGCACGCTCGTGCCGCAGCCGGGGCATTTAATCGTCCCGCGAGAAAGAGAGAGAGAGAGAGAGAGGGACTTCCTCGATAAAGAAGGGGTTGCGCAACCGGCCCTTCCACTCGCTCCCATTTCGAGCGGCAGAGGCGGCCCGCGGAAGCTCGTTCCGACGTTCCGCACCGACACAGGAGGGTCGATCGAGACGGGAATTCCGAGCTGCGTCCGTCGTGAGAGATTACCGGCGGCGTCGTTCGCACAAAAATCACCGCCGCCGCTCGCGCGCGCGCGTCGAGCGCGCATCGACGTCGCCGTGTGTCACGTGGACATTTTCTCAGCCTTTCGTAGAAAAAAGAAAGAAAAAACACATAGGCAGGGGCGACGCTATTAACCCTCGGACAACGAGGTTCATGTAGTCACACGTGCGACAAGGTGGGTCGGATCCGACCGGTGGAGGGATTTTATAGTTTCTTCAACTAATTTTGCAGACCCGCCACTTCTTATTCCCGCGATAAGTTGGAAAATATTTAAAATTAAGTAAAATATGTCGTGAAATATGCAAATACCTGAAATATGACGCTTCGTGCGCATGTGCACGCGGAAGCGTTAAGGACCGTCCACGTTAGAGGTGGTAAGACTGCGGGGGTGGGAATAAGAGAGCTTTTTCAATGGAATAACAGCCGTAAGCACGTAAGCGAAATGGAGATCATTTCCATTTCCTATTCCTCGCTGCCTTGCAGCCCCCAGTCGATAATTTACCCCTTACTAATCGCTGTTTGCTCCCAATGTGGACGGTCCTTCAGAACATGGATCCGCAAACAGATCCAATTCGACCTTGTTATCCGAGAGTTAATTAGACGGTTCATTACTTCCGACGATTTTCCACGCGAGAGTGACAACGTCGCGGACGACATCCCTCCCTTCCTCTTCGCGACCGATTACGCGTGGACGGAAACTTGGCCGTCGAAATCTTTCCTCGCCGTTCACCGGGTTACGTCACGCTCAACGATTGCGCAACCGGGACCAACCCTCGCGGCTCTCTCTCCCCCCCCCTCCCTCCCTCTTTCGACATACCAGCGCGATGTCACCTTATAAGTAATCGAACAATTGCCCGATTTCCCTGTCGTCGTGGACACGTGAGAATTGTGTCCTCAATGTTTGCCCGCGATGGCGCAATGCCGGAAACCGCGAGCGACGCGGAGGTGTCGTTCTTCACCGAGAGGATCTGCGCGAGCAGAATGGGGCGAGCGACGAGACTCCACGCGCGACTCGTCTCGATTTCCGCGATGTCTCGCGAAGGGAAGTAGAAGAGAGAGAGAGAGAGAAAACGCGTCGAAAGGGAGGAGAAAAATGAGAGAGATCGACTTACGTAGGCATCGACACGGCAGGACATCCGAGTTGCAGGAGGCTCCTGGCGAGATACTCCGGCGCAGGTGCGTCACTCCCGGCAGGTGCGTAGCGCCAGGCGGACCGGAACGGTGTGTCGCAGCTTGCGCATCTGTCCGACACCGCCGATGATGACGACGAGGTCGAGGTCGACGACGGCGACGACCTCGAGGCGCGCGCCCGCTGCCGCGCGGCGACGCGGGCCTCGCTCGTCCGTGGGATCCTGAGGGAGCCGCCGCGACGTAGCTGCGGGCCCAACTCGCTCTCTGAAATTTCCAGGACGAAACGCGCTTTATTATGATCATCGTCATGCCGGCGAATCAGCTGGTCGCGCGACCATCGCGCGGGATCGAGATGAAAGACGCGAGTACATTGTAATCCAAGTGTGTTATTTTTGAGAACAAGATTTCTTTAGATTTCATAAATTTTATCGCATCCAAACAAATTTCATCATCGGCATGCTCCGAAGAAACTAACGTTCCGATTAATAAATACGATTAGACTTAGATGTTAGATTTTTAGATGTTAGACTTTTCAACGAATGTGTATCTTTATCTTAAATAAAAAATTTGTCCGAAACGGAAGATAATTCTTTTTATAAACAATTTTTTTTATAAAAAAATTTTTTTATAAAAAAATTATCTTTCATTTTACATATTTTTTGTAACCGAATAATATTTTATTCGGTTAAAAGATATTATTTCAAATAATAGCGCTCTTTCTGTTAAATAATCAAGTTTTCTTGAGTAAGACGATAAAATTTTTACTCAAATAATATTTCGTATATGTTGTTTCTATGAACATTTTAGTGAAATAAATAGAAATATTTAATGTAAAGAAACCTTTTTCTCTATATATAAATGTCTTAAAATGACACATTTGACTGAAGCCATTTTTATATATTTGTTGCTTACGATTTTGCTTACGCTATTTAAAACATTTAATCGTGTTAAATTAACACGTTAAATTATAATCGTCCAATCGTATTAAATGACGTGATTTAAAATAGTAAGACATGTATAAGAAATATGTAAGAAGAGCTTCAGCCAAAGGATTTGCAGTGTAGATCGAGAAAGTCTCTCGCAGCGGCCTTGGTATATGAGGCTCGCAGGATGTTGCAAAATTCTCTATTAATAATTAATGCGCCTGTCGGATACATCGATCGAGCGCATGCCTTGCGATAAAGTTAAGAAAAATCGCTTTTTTTTCTATTCCTTCATGGAAAGAAATCAAAAAATCAGTGGAGAATTAAACAAAAAACGGGAAATCCGTGGAAAAATTGAGAAAAGCTGGTTCTTTCCGAATATTTAAAATTATGCATTGCGATCAAGTTTTCTCTTTCTCTCTCACGTGAAGTACACTGAGAGAAAGATTTGATAACAATGACCAAGATTTGGTTAAATGTTTAATTTGGTTAAATGATTTTAATTAAATTGTTTAATTACTGCAACCAAATCATTTAATCGTGTACTGCATTGTAATATCATATACTATATACAGTATATAGTACTAAGTGATCTGGTTGTAGTAACCGAGCAATTTAGTTGAAATTATTTAACCAATTTTAATAATTGTTACTAGAAAATTATTACAATGAAATTATTAAAAATTATTAAAAATTATTAAAAACTACATTTTAATAGTTATTACAAAATTTTAATAATTGTTGCCTTTTTTCAGTGTACACTGGGAGAAATTATCGATTTAATTATATCCTTAAATTATACCCTTCTTTAGTTTTAATCGTAGAAATAGTAGGTAGTAATATGTTTATAAAGTTATTGTCACTGACACTGTAGTAATACTTACTGGAAAAATGTTACTCCTGACTGAAATTTTTTCTACGGTGTGTTATGGTATTATAGTTACAAATACAAAATTTTTTTCCCCAGTGTAGGCGTAGGTCGAACGGAAAGCGAAACCGCCGGCAGCGATGGAATAGAGCGCGACGCTGAAACGAGGCGAGACACCGCGTGTTCGTCGACCAACGAGCTTACGCCCTCATCGGCGACGGTGCTTTAATTCGTTTAAAGCTCCTAGCCGTGCGTTACGTCAGGCCGCGTATTAGCATGCCGCGTCTACCTGCATTACATGAACGCTACTTACTGGTGGTGCCTATGGCTTAAGATAGTTGGCCAAACTATTTTCTTAGGAATTCTTTTAAATTTTAGCTTTTACTGATACTAAATACTAAGTACTATTTACATGTCTATAAGGTTAGAAAACGATTAACCGCTAGGAAGATGGAGTGTTCACAACTGAACTGACTGACACTTTTTATACACAGATAAGAAATGCTAAATTTAAATAAATAATTACTCCATTATTCTTTAGCAAATTTTTACTTGGATCAAGTAAATATTTTACTTCGATATAATTTATTTGAAATATTTCATTTTGGATCAAGTATTATTTGATAAGTGAAAATTTGTTGAGAAATATTGGATGGTAATTATTTATTTGAATCTAGCACTTTTTCTGTATACGTATTTCTCGATGTTATCCTATTTTTATTCTCTACTATTAATTTCTTCTAAATTATATTTAGAATTTTAATGAAAACTATGATATTAAGGACTAATATCGAGACATTATACAAAAATTTCCAAATTATTGGCCATTTTGAAAAGATAGCAATATAGAAATTCACAATTTATTGTTAATAAAAAAAATAAAAAATAAATAATATCTCCGTGTCTGTAATATTGCGCGTATATGTGCCTTAATTTCGCTGATAATTAACATTTATTACTTAGATAGTTAAATAAAATTATACAGGAAAGTATTTTTTTTTATTAATAATAAACTTATGTGAGGGGGACCCTTAATATCGTCGCTGGAAATCCGGTAAATATATAATATAATACGGGCCAACTACCTTAAGTGACTCAAGTCTCCCGTGCCGGCCGCGTCGGCTTACCTTGGATTTGATATACTCGCAGAGCCATATTACCGAAGATCGATAGTCCGCTGCCGAGCGACCATCTTCGCCGACGCGGTCACCGAGACTCGGGACTCACTGGCTTCTGAGGCCCGCGCGGAAAAACGTGATCGATCTCCGCGCGCGCGCGTGAAATCGAACTGTATCGCTGAGTATACCGACCTGCGTGAAAAACGCTGCGGAAAACGCTCGAGACATTTGATGCGCGAGAACGACGAGATCACGCTTGATTCCGACGGAATCTCGCTATTTCATCCGGACGAGAAAGAGAGACAGATGGATGATCGGATAAAATTTGCGCGTGACTTGAGGAGCAGTTCGGGATTTTCAATCTGAACGAACTCGCACCGATTATGCCAATCTCGATCCCGGATTCGAAGGTTAATTCATTGAATTGATTGGACGTAGGCGAGAGATAATTTTGTTATGCAAAGAGACAGAGAGAGAGGTGAGAAATACGGATCGGTCCGTTCTCTCTGCGTCGGAGATAGCGGATGTGGTCAACGTACGATGTCGTACGGCCTCGTGGCCCTCTGCCCAACGACTGAAAATTCGAGGACGCGGAGGCGCGCGCGCGTGCATCACCGGCACCACGTTTTTGGCAAGTCGCCGCGCACCGGCTCGTCCGCGACGTGTCCGGGAAACGCCGCATCTCTTTCTCTCTCTCTCTCTCTTTCTCTCTCTTGGAAGATTCGCGACACGTAGCTGCGAAAGCACGCCGCGATCGAACGCCATTCGGGCATGATTTGCGGAGAGGTGCGCGGCGCGACAATACCGGGCAGCGCGTAGGTAGGCGGTTCGCTGGAAAACCAACGCGTCCCGGAACTCCCTTCCACTTTCGGACACTGAGAACTGCGGCAAGATGAGAAAAACGATGAGTGCTTCGCGAAACTCGACCTTGTTCGAGTACTGTTTTCGTAGGATGGAAAATTACGCGAAAAAGTGTGACAAACCGTCGCGGCAAATCGATACACTTTCTATTATAGCCCCGTTCAAAAATTTATTTATATATAAAAAATGAAGCAAGTAAAAGAATAAAATGCACGAGTATATAAATATATACTTTAATGCACGAGTATATAAATATATACTTTTGATATAAGTTAAATAATATATAATGTAAGTAAATATATATTGTTCAATACTATTCGTAGAACGGAAAATTACGTGGGGAAACGTGAGAAACCGTCGCGGTTAAATCGATACTTTACATCACAGCGCAAACGAAATTTTATTTATATGTAAAAAATAAAATATAAAATTAAAACCGATGAAGAAACAGAGTATATAAGTAAATACATACTTCGAGAATGTTTTCGTAAAACGGAAAATGACGCGGAGAAGTAGTGTAGAGGATCATCGCGGTAAACCAATACTTTATATCACACAGTCCTATTGAAAATTGAAACATTTATTTAAATACGAAAAAAATTAAATATAAAAATAAAATGTAAGTGGAAAAAATATAAATAAATATATATATATAACATGAACAAGAAATGTATAAGTAAAATAAATAAGACACAACTGTCGTATCTTTTTCTTGTATGTCCAAGTCTTTTAGGAACGCGATGATTTCGTTTCATTTATGTTGACAAGATATACGAAATACGTTCTCTGGTGTTATGATACGTTACAAAATATTGTTACAGTATGACAGAGTGTTCGCTGCTGCTCTCAGCCGCGGACGAATTTTCCTTATCTGTACGCCAGACAACATAAACATCTCAAAGACGTCGTCTTAATCTTCTTGGCGCTTTTTAGAACGCTCTTCGGATGCTCTCAAGATATTGATATCTTTCGTCATTCGAGATAATGCATACACATATCTCCCATTATATTATCTCGCAAATATGCTGTAGCTCTAACAGTCGCGATATTTACAAACGCTCTTATCGTTTCACCTTTTATCTGCCATGCTCGTATCAATTTTCTGTCGTTGGCTTACGTCATACATTGTGGTTAATCTAACCGCGATAAGCGCCGATCGAACGCACTCGGTAGTAGGTGCTCGTCAGTGACGTCTATACCGACCAAATTATTTATCTTTGATATTGAAATAGTTGAAAATGGCGCACATTCGCGTAATTATACTTAAATGCTGTCATTCGATGCAGCTGCCGTTTTGCGAAGAGCGATTAACACCCGTCTGTTGTCGCGTTATTACATAAACTGCACGCGTGCGTTTGCACGTGTGTGTGTTGTGTGTGTGTGCACGGTGTCTCGTTGCTTATACACAGAGAAAAAAGTTTCTTTAGATTTTATATTTCTATTCATTTGACTAACATTTGTCTCATAGAAACAATGTGAGATATTATTCGTTTGAATAGAAATTTTATTGTCTTATTCAGGAAAACTCTATTGTTTAACAGAAAGAACGCTATTTGGAATATTTTTTAACCGAATAAAATATTATTCGGTTACAATAAATGTGTAAAATGAAACGAATAATTTCTTTATGAAAAAATTATCTTTCGTCTCAAAAAAATTTTTTATTTAAGATAAAGATACACATTCGTTGAAAGGTTTAACAATCGCAATTGCTAATCGGAACATTAGTTTCTTTGGAACATGCCAACGGCGAAATTCGTTTAGATAAAATTCATTAGATTCGAGGAAACCTTTTTCTCAGTGTACCTTTAAAAGGTCCCTCGCAGAATGTTTTAGAATAAATTCTAGCAGGTCCGAATAACAAGCTCGGAATAAATCTCGAGACACTACCGTGCTTTACATGCAATGAATATTCCGCTCGATTAGGTTACTAAAAGTATTCCGATCGTCGAAGAGCGATAAAAGTGGAAAGGAGCAACGACTGTGGTGTGGAAAAAACTTCCATCCGGGTGGCACGTTTTCTCGACAAGGCAAGGAATGGACAAACGAACGTTTCCTGTTTGTAGAAGCGCGGTATCGGGTGTGAATAATTTTTCATCGCGCAGGTCGGAGTTTCCGCGGTGACAATGACGTCCTATGTCAAGGTGTTGTCTATTATGCGAACGTGTCGTATGTCGTCTCGAATCAACACGAATACCACCAATTAGCAGCTAGTGAAAATTCAGCGATCATGTAATATCATAGAATAATTTATCGGCTCACGTTAAGTGTAAAGAATAAAATAGGGTAAAATAAAACGATACCGCGCGCGCGCGCGCGTCGGAAATACTTCCACGTCGCATCGTGTTTTCGTTGCAGCATTTGTTGGCATCGACGAACTATTTGATGTGTTGACTTATCGATTATCTCGGTGTTTGGGGATTACAATAGTAAGATAATACTATTGAGGGAATAATGCCGATGGAATAACGTGATAAGATTTAACGTAAGATGGATATGGTTAAGAGAAATTATGGGCGGAGGAAAGGGGAATAAGATGACGATCTTAAAATTTATCAATTTTTCCTCGTTTTAACGGAATAGTTTTTAGCTGTGAGAACTTCTTCGCCACGCAGAATGTAGATAAAAATATAACAGATTATTTATTATTATTACTTATTATTATTTATTATTATTATTAAAAGCCTATGATGTGCGTTGGGCATCAAAACGTATTTGTGGTTAGCTTAGAAAAATTAGCAAACCCTCATCTTGTCTACTTTGTTATCATAATTCCCGGTTTCCTTTATTCTTCGTCAAGAAATAATTCGATCCCGGTATGAAGACAACGAGTTGTAAAAAGGTGGCTAATTAATTCGGAAATAATGATCTCGCGGCGTTCGCGTATTTTATAATCTCGACGTGAAACAGAATGCTCGACTGAACTTGACCGCGGTTGGATGGCATTCAACAGTTTTACAGTTGTAGTGACCTCAGCTGGTGATTCGTTCACGATGATTCGTCAATATTAGACAGTTATCGGGGCATGTTAGGCCGGTAGACGAGCGCGCGTTGCGATCGTGTTTAATTTTACAGCTCAGACGCAAGGTTTGTTAAATTTTAAATCGCTGCCACAACAACGTTTTGTCGCTACAACAGCAAAATTATTTCTTCCGTGTAACAAATCTTCTTTCTTTGTCAACTAAACGATTTTTGACTAAATTCGTCGAAATAAATCAAATCAAACGATCTTTAATTGGATTTTTGTTAAAATCCATCTTCAATTATTCGATGTGGCTCCCGAGATGGCGCCGCGTCTTTCGAAGATCTGTATCCGACGTTTCGTAAACGTTTCAGTTCACTTCTTCAAGGTGAAGATCAGCCTGAAAATTTCAGGTCAATTCGGAAGCCACCGAATGTTTACCCGCACCGCGAAAGCTCAAGATTTCCAATCTTCGATTCTGGTTAAATCGATTCGTGTTTGTTCAAGTCAATTATTTGATTGCGAAAAATTTAATTGATATTTTTCAATTCCGGCTTATTATGCCAAGCGCGAATCAACGAGTCTGTCTCTCGAGATGACAAAGACGATCCGAGCGAGTTATCCGGGTGTGTCACGGGGAATCCCGTTCTCGGGATTCCGAGGGGATGTCGTCGAAATACTCGGAGAAATTGCCTCGTCGTAGGTTAACGTAAATCCCGCCGGTCAGTTCCGACGAGGCTGATAAAAGCGGCTCTGGTCGGCTGCTGAGCCTCGAGACGAGCGATTCGATTCGATACACGAGCTGAGGTCCTATTCTAGACGCTAAGTATCGAACGCTAAGTATACCTTCCGGATTCTCAAGCGGAAACAACGCCATACGTGAGGCTCACGTGAGAAAAACTCACGATTAAAAGGGCTAACTTAAGTTGCTTTCCAGCAAGAGACGCAAGTTCACACAAGCCTAGTTGCATCATCGTTCGTCCTTATTTCGCATTTGGAAAAGAAAAGGATAATAGGTGATACAACTAGACTCGTGTGTCGACTTGCGTCTCCTGCTGGAAAGCAAACTCAGGTAAGACGATAAAACTAGTTACAACACTGAAATGCCTCGCCTTATGGTTGTCACCGCTGCAATAATGCATCGCATCATATTTTTTGTCATCAAACTTTGCGTCAACCAATAGAGTTGTTATTATCATTATTATTATTCTAGATTTCGGCCGCGTCATGCGGAACGTGCACAGCTTTGAACTACGTTCGACGCGCGACTCTTGCCGCGGATCACGAGAGCATAACGAGGGCATAGGTGCGTGCGAGAACGTCAGCTGTTGCAAGTATAAATCTTGAATATCGGAGCGCCGAGTGTCCGATAGATGATAGTCTTCGAACCGTTTGACATGCCACGAATGATGAATGTTTTCACCTTGTCGCGAGAACGAAGGGCTACAAAACTGCGTGTTTCCACGAGGAAACGCAAAAATGGCATTTATGATGCGGCCGCGCAAATAACAAAATGCATGCTTTCTCATCATCGTCGTGAGGTGCGACGTGCTATTATTAAATCTATGATGCGCGTGATAGCGACGTGGCGGCCACGCGAGGAAGCGTAACCGCGCCTGTGTCATACTATGCATGTACGTCTTCTATCTTACGTATATACGTAAAATCGTTCCGTGTTGGAAAAGTAGCGCGAAAATTCCGAGTAGAGATCGAGACAACGTCGATTAACACCGCGACATGTAGCTACACGCGGCAGAATTCTCTTCCCGTTCCATGCGCGAGTAATCTCACAAAATATAAAAGAGAGAGAGAGAGAGAGAAATAAAAATAAAGAATAATCTCTCGAATCCCGATTAATCCAATCGACAATTGACTCAGCCGTCAGAGATGTCACATGGAAGATAAAACGACAAAGAAAGCTCGGTCGTTCTCTCTCTCGATAACCTACCTACATTCAAAACTGATCCCGCTCTAACAGCACCTGCTGCTCCATATTGTTCACGCAATCGTGAATCCTTTGTTTTTATAGAGTACGTAGCCGTAGGAGGTAATTGTAACAAACAAAATACTCTTCACGACCGAAACAAATTCTTCACGAATTCTAAGAGTACTCGAAATACCGAGTCCCGAAATATTCATCGTAACAAACTTCTGAGGAATACTTCAAGACCAATTTGATTGTGATTAATTCTTCGAGAATCCTCTAGATATTCATTTTTTTCTAATCCCGTAATCGTTAAATATTCTGTATTCATTATATATTCATTTAATATTTATTACATATTACGTAAATATTCATAAGTTTCTTATAAACTTGTTCTCTGGGTTATTATTACTTATTCAAAAGAAGGATTTATTCTTTTCTCAAGAATTTCAACGATGTTATCAAATTTTATCGAAGGAAGGTTAAATTCGGTTAATTTGAATGAGCGAACCAAAGTTTGCTTTAACTTACTAAACTTACCAGAATTCCGAATATATTTTTTAATAAATTCAATGTTTATGATAAACTTCTGACAGATTTGCAGATATAGGAACTAATGAAATATTGGAGACAAGTAACATTCATTTGAATTTACTTGCAGTATATATTTTTCTGTGTGTAGCCGGGAGGCTAATTACGTAACTCGACTAGTTCTCTCTCTAATCGTGGATTTAATTGGAAAAGTCGCTCTAACGAAGAACGAGCGAGTCGTGAAAAGTTTCGTTCAAACAAGGCGACGTATATACATACACACATATACATATATATATATATATTTTTTTTCCAAGATACGATATATATATAAAAAAAAATATATATATTTTTTTTTTCTTTTCCGAATACGAGAATGGAGAAAATGTGGAATCACCGGCTTGAAATTGCGAGCTCCGGAGTTTCCTTTCGCGCAAATGCCGCTTCCCCGTCTCTCGGGGCTTACCTGTCGCGGTCGACGGTATCCTGAGACTGGCGCCTCGTCGCAGATTGACGCCGGTGCTGTCGGCGGGCGCAACTTCAACTTCCGGCAACTCCGGTGGCGCTTCCGCGCGTTCTCCCGCGTCGTCCATTCCGGCCAAGGATTAACGAGAAGTTCCCGCGATGATCGTCGACGAGAGGACCGGCCCGAGCCGGCCCGCTCGACCTGGTCGTCACTGCCTCGGGATTCCGTGGATGCTTATCGACCAGCTGGTCTTCGTCTCGACTGGCACGATCGAGCGGATCGGCCAATAGTAGCGACAGGGCGCAGTCACGTGCGGCTTTCGACGGACGGACGGCGTCCTCGGTAATCCGGCTTCAATGTCGCGAGCGAAAGTGTCTCGCAACACATCGGTACCGACACTTTCGCTACGAGGTGCGACAGTGCCGCGAGGCTACCGATCGCCTCTCCTCTGATCCCACGCGTTCCTCGACTACGCTCAACCGGCTTCCGCTCTCTCCCCGCTCTTCTTCTACGCCTCCTTCGTCGACGCTCGGTATCTTCGTATCGAGAATGATCCCGGAGGGGTCGCACAGAAAGTGTCCAGCAGGTTATCCGAGATAAACAGCGGTTATCGCGGCCGAGAGTGCTCGGCGAACGATCGGCGCGAGACGCGCGAGTGAGCGAGCGAGCGCCGTCCTCGGCGCTTTCTCCCGTTTCCCGTGATCGCGCGGAGTGACGTGGACGAGTAACTCGTCGTCGGCGACGACGTTCGAGGAGAGAGTTACCGCTCGATCGATCTGCAAGGATACAAAGGAGCGTAAACGCGCCGGAATCGGAGATACGACGGGAAGCGAGCGTGGATCTGAGAAATCGGCCGTCCGATGGCGCACCTAACCGCACGCTAGCCGCGAGCGGACGGCCCCGCGATTTTTATCGTTCCCCGTGTCCACAGCCGCACGAGCCTGTCGCGAGCGACGATTCTCACGCGAGCTTCCGCGACTGTCGTCATACTGCCGGAGGTATCACTTTTCGCGTATACACCAGCGGCGCGAGCCGGCGGCGAGTCGGTGCGTCAGTGCCGCTTTTAGGAATTCGCGCGCGCGGGATTCTCGCGCGGTCGTGACGTCGGCGGGACACGACGCGCGCCGCCGAAAACCCAGCGAGTTTTCTTCTCCGTGACGTCGAGAGGCGGAGAAGGCGGCGATCAACGGGCGAGAACGATCGGCGCACCTGGCGAACGTTGCCGCGCGACTGACGACGGGCCCTCCCGAGAGTCAGAAGTCGATGGTTTATTTTCGCCGTGACACCTCGTGCCAAACAACGTCGATAGAGCAGCGATAAAGCGGGGAAAGCAGCGAAACCGACATACCCAGTTGAGTTCCTCGGCGACGAAGTCTCGTCCGAAGGCGTAAGATTGACATTTAAACGCGTACATGCTAGATAGCAACGTTTGTACGCCAAAATGTATGATAGTCTTGTGAAAATGATTACGTGTCTCCTTGCAGATAACGATTCTTTAGGATGCCCCCGAGGATTGACGCTTCGGAAAACTGGGCCTCAAAACCGATATCTACGGGAAATGATGAAAAACATAGAAACACTCAAATTACGCGTTATATTAATTATTACATATTATCTTTATTATTATATGTTACTTTACGTTATCTTTGATCGTTGACATATCTTTTTAAAAGTTCGAAAATTTTTTAAAGCGAAAGAGATTCCCTGACTTCTTTCCAACTGTCTTAAACTAACGAGAAACACAGGAAGACAGAGTCAGTTACACCGATAGTTTGATGAATCGACAACGATCCAAAGCAGTAGATGTGATGCTTTGGAGAATCGTTGTCGATTCATCAAACTATCGGTGTAACTGACCCTGTCTTCCTGTGTTTCTCGTTAGTTTAAGACAGTTGGAAAGAAGTCAGGGAATCTCTTTCGCTTTAAAAAATTTTCAAAAATAAGCCTAATTGAACATTTTCAATATCACTATGCACTAAATGAAATAGAACGGCATCAATGGAATTTCCCGTACTCTATGAAACGACATTTCACGGCAAAGTTCGAATATGTCGGTTGGAGGATCAGTAAACTCCGGTATGTCGGTTTATTCAACAACCTAACCTTAACTTTTCTCGCGCAGTTCAACGACCGACGACAGAGTTTCGCACAAGATCGGAAGTATTTTCAAAAGAACTCTCAAAACTCACGCTACGAAAATAATATAGTCGAATAAATTACTTACCGCCGATTTGTTACTCTAATTTTCGCAAGAAGATAGCTCGACGAAAATTTCGGCGAACGAGAAAAAGGATCGTACGACGCCAACGAAACGGCCGAATCCGCTTTTGCAAGCAGGAACTGGAATCGGAATACTTCGGTTCCGATTTCTGCGCACAACGGACAAAATTGATGTCCCGTCCGACAAAGTTCGGTACTCGACAGTAGGAGACGCGAATATACACGCCGCAATTATCGCACCTTTATCAGTTATGACGGTTTTCCTCCACTGTTCGCCGTTGGAGGCCGGTTTTCCCGCTCGACCGCACGAACACGTCGCAGATTCAAACGCCACAATGAACGTGTCGGAGCAGGTCGGAGTACCCGTCGTGCCTTTCGTCTCGAGGGGAGCGGACGTCGAGGGCTCGGCGAGATATCGATCACCGATCGATATCGCGCTCACGGCGCGAATTATAAATCCGACGAGTGGCCCGCCTTCGACGCTAAAAAAAGCGTTCGGCTTCGATCGCGGCCTGCGTGGCCGCCGGTTTGTTTTCGCAAGTTCGCCAGACCGCGCCGATCGTGTGAATCGCGCGAGTTATACGTAGAGCCACGCACGAGCGAGCACCCGTGTGCTCGAGAGAGGATTTATTTTCGTTATCGCGCTATCGTGCCAAAAAAACGGACGCGCCGACAGCCACGTTGACGACACGACGAGACTGCTGACGCGAAGCTCGAATTTTCCCTTCGGTCTTCGCGGTGCGGAATGCGAGTTTCTTTCTGGGTGAATTTTCGAAATTTTCGAAAAGTTCCTCGAGGTGTCCAACGGAACCTCCGAGAGCGAGCGAAGAGTTTCCCGCACGCGATCGAGTGTGTCGACACGTTCACAACTTAAACATTGAAATTCGCTCATTGTAGCGCGCGCGCGGGCTACAGTATTTTCAGTAGCTGTATACTTAAACTGCTATTCACAGGACGCGATAAATAGGCAAATGGAGTACTTTACATAATTAATGTGTCATACATGCGCGACACTTGTCTCTGGTGGGAGATCGGTGCGTCATATATGCGACGTCTCGTTACATACGCATAACAAACGCGTTAATGATACGAAGGCGCATGAAGCACTCGCGTTTATAAAGTCCCGTTTACGATAGCTACTTTAAGTCCTGAGTCTTAAGAAATCGTAGCCAATCGTAGTCGAATGTGAGGAGAATGATTGACTATGATCGATTAATTTCTTATCTTACGCCTTAAATTCTCAGTATAGATCTCACTTAAGGGGATGTCAAAGTCGAAGACGAACTTCACAAGCGTCGATAGAGGCAAGATTCCAAGTGTTATGTTACGTAACACTCACATGATCACGCTACTCTTTTTGTATTTCTCATACATACAGGTCTTACGTAAATGTAAGTACGATGTAAACGTGAAGTGCGATGAATATGCGCTACTCTGTTTTACCATATCTAATGGAAAATTTAATCAAGATATATGAAAAATTTTTTCCGCAAACTTTTCGTATCTTTTTAGGCCACTGAGTTTCACTGAGGTGTAAAAATGTTTCTTGAAATTCTCCTGATTGGAGCATCGGCACGTTTGCACGAAAAAGCTGCGGAATTTTTGTACCAGGTAAATTTTATTTACGCTAACTGAGAGTTAGAGATGTCACTTGGAAATTTTTGATCACTTTCACATATCGAGCAGTACTTCGTTTTATTTTCGCGCGTACTTTCACCGTATAAAAGCATTTATAATTCTGTGCAATTAATAAGACGCAAATTTTGCAGAAAAAATCTGTTAGTAATCTGTTAGTAAAGTTTTCAAGTATGACATCCCCTCAAGGTCGCTTTAAGTTTATCTTTCGATACCGTGCAGACCGTTTTACTCGCTGCAAAACATTTGAATATAAACTTAAGGCAATCTTAAAGATCTGGCAATAAATACCGACCTAAGACGAATTTTAGACGTACTCCTTGTGCTGTCTGACTGAATTAAAGCGCGCCGGACAACATTCGAGCATTTGATACACGAAAGGACAGCAGGTGTACGATAGTTGGATTTTTACGCAGCGACATACCGGTTATAAGATTCATTTCCAGATTCGAGAGTGACTAGTCAGCAGCGTCTCTCGAACGAGTGTCGAACGTGTGGAGGTCGGGATGAAATGGATGCCGGCAGGCAGGTCGGGGTCGAACAGGATCATGTCTGCGTACGGGGTGACAGAAAAGACAGTTTTTAGAAAACTAACATCTCTTCTCATTTCTCTCGTTCAATCTCATAACTATACATAATTATTCTTTTTACGACGAAACTTTCGCTCTCCTCTCGCGAAGGAACTCGCGAGGCAAATTCTTTCTCTTTCTCTCTCTCTTTTTGCCTCTTTGACACACACACACACACGTATACACACATACACGCACACAGGCACACCATTATGCTTCGTATTATATTATATTTTACCTTTACGTATCACTGGTACTGTGGTGTACTCGATGGCTCGTCGAAATCGTTACGCGAGCAAACAGCGCGGAAGTGAGTGCCGATAACGACACACGGTTTCGCCTACGTAGCGTTGTTGTTGGACTTGTCAAGATCGTACTCTTATCTGCGTGCGAAGGTGACTGCTTCGCAAATTGAAAAAGATTAATCCTTTAAGTGCCACGTTGCAATGTCTCAGAACACGGTTTCTCTAGAAAGACGGTATTTCTCAGGAACATGAGGAAATTAACATTAAGGTGACCTCTACGCACGCCGATCGTGTCCCTCAAATATCCCTGTGAAACACGAGCAAATCATTTTCCTTCGGTAGAATTGTTTCTAACGGTGAAAATAGTCCTTATTAGGGCAGCAGCGGAATAAACACTGTCACAATTGGATAACTGATCACAAAGACGCAACGGATATTTTTTCTTTCAAATACTTCAACAATTTTGTAAGGGAAACTTTTCTGCAGGGAGAAGGAAGATTGGTTGAATTAACGTGACGGTGTGAGAACGAAGTAAGCGCGTTTTGACTGAAGGAAACGGAATTTCGGACTCTTATAAACCAAATTCGATCTTAAGACCCAGCAGGAGGCATCGTGGAGACCTCACGCGGATACTTCGGAACTACAGATTCGTATTTTTCGTTTTCACGTCAAAATAAGGGAAACAAAATCACTTTCTGATTATGATATTCGTAATCGTGTGCGGTACAATACAAAGTGACCTTTTGGAAAAAAGAGTGGAGATGAAAATATAATAATACATATGAGTGAGCGATCGATTTGAAGTGCAGAACAAGTCAACATTTTCATTTATCATGGATTTTTGAGGGCCTAATTGCAAAACTCAACTCTGTACATCAAGTGCATTATTACGAAGAATATTCCAATAAATGTTTGGTGGGAAAATATAACTTGTACTTGAAGAGAAAAACGAAAAAGCGCCCAAACCACGGAAAATGTTACCTAGCTGCACGTAACTACTGCTTTTGCTCCCGCGCGAGCGATGTATTAATATTCGCACACACACACACACACACACACGCGCGCGCGCGCGCGCGCACGCACGCACGCACGCACGCACGCACGCACGCACGCACGCACGCACGCACGCACACACATACAGATACGGTGTTTCGCGCTTTCACCGCAGGAGGTCTCCAAAGTCAAATCTGGATTCGCTCTTGGCTCCTGTCGGACCTTGAAGGACCAGGAATTCTGTTTCCTCCAATCAAGACACGCTCGCTTCGCCTCGCCTTAATTCACCAAGTCTCTCTTTCCTCCGCGCGAAAAAAAAAAAAAAGCGGAAACAGTATTTTCTCAGCGAGCGATAGGCTAAGCACAGACAGAGTCGCGTGGAGCATTCAATACCGTCTTCGACAGCGGCGCTCCGGCGATCTCACACGGTTGCGAAGAAGAAAAAGAAAAGAGAAATCATATCGACGGCAACGAAACTGAATAGAGACAGGGGACGCACGATCTCCCTTCCCCTTCTTCCCGCGATAATAATACAGGCAGCGAAGCGCTCCGACGACGAGGAGCTTCCGAGTCGCCTTCGCCCCGCCAAAGAGGCAGCTTATCGCGCGCGGCCTCCTTCTGCCTGAAGCTCGAAAAACCTCGAGCGCCAATCCCGATCACGTGACGGTGTCGAAGCCGAGGTCCGCGACGAAGCTGCAGAAGCGGTCGGCGAACACCTTCTCGTGGGGGTCGCGCTCCCTCGCCACCTGGGCGAGCTTGTCGTTGGCGACGCGGAAGGCCTCCAGGAGCAGCACGTGTGCCGCGATCACGGGGTCGTCGCGCGCCCCGTTGTCGCGCACGAACGACACGACCGGCTCATCGCGGCGTCGCGCGTCCACGAGCTCGTCCTCCACGTAGCGGCCGTGCCTCACGTACATCGCAGTGAGACGGATGAGGGTCTGCGCGAGGAACCTCCGATGGGCCCACAGCACCTCGTTGTGTTCGAACGTGGTGATGAGCCGCTCGTTGACGTAGCACTCCTCCGCCCAGTACGACAGCGCCCGTAGGTAGCGCTTGAGCTTGTCCTCGTAGGCGTTGCGCTCCTGCCGGCGCATAGACTCGCGCAGGCAGACCAGGAACATCTTGCGAAGGCCGTCGACCGCGCCGGTGTCCATGTAAGCGAGCAGCCGTTCCTCGCGGTCGCACCCCTCGAGATCGTGTTGACCGTTCGGCAGAGCGCCGGCCGCGTCGCCCGACGACGAGGACGTCGTCGTCGTCGCCGACTCCAGCACGCACCGTCTCAGCAGGAACTGTCGGTAGGAGTGGCCGCTGTTGTCCGACACGTGCCGCTGGCACCAAGCCAGGGTGCTCCTCCACTCGCTCTCGAGGCTGGGGTGCGTGAGAGCGCGGGACTTGCGGAGCGTCAGCAGGTAGCGCCGGTAGCTCCACGCGTGGTAGTTGCTCGCGTACCGATCGGCGCACGACTCGACCAGCTGCACCTCGGCGCAGAGGGGCGAGTCCGCGGGCGCCGGGTCGTACGTGCGCGACGAGTCGGCCTGCTTAACGTCTAGCACCTGGGGCATCAGCCAGCGTCGGTAGGCGAACGCCTCGTACGAGTTCGGCTTGTGGTAGAGCACCAGCCGCGTCAGCAGCAACTCCTCGCACGGGTCCAGCCGGTAGCTCTGCGCCAGTTCCCGCCGCATGTTCCACAGCATGATGACGTTCGGGTTGATGAGGAGGGCGCCCAGCAACCATCTCGCCACCGTCCTCGGCTCCGCGCAGCGACGACGGTTCTGCCGGAAGTCCAGGAGCCGCCGGTACACGTAGCAGTAGAGCGGCTCGACGCACCACGACTCCAGGCCCAGGTAGTTCAGCTCGTGGTACACCGGCGAGCGGTTCTCGTTGTTCTGCGCCGGCACGATCTCGAAGCTCCGTCTGGGACAAGGCACAAGTCGCGACAAGTCAATCATTCCCCTCTTCTCTGCGCGTCTCTCTCAGCGGCCTGAGTTAGCTATTATTTATGGCTGCTTGCGAATTAATTCCGCGCCTTTTTTCATTATCGAAGTTTCGTCCATTGCGTGACGTGCAAAACGGTAGAAAACGTTTTCTCGTTCGTATCTATCGAAATTACAGGTGTAAAATAATAAGATTGTTGGCACGGCTCGCGCCAGACACTCCGTACGTATCGAACCGCTAAAAGAACGTGCTTCTAAGTAATTTCGCATTTCATTGTGTTTCTCTTACTTTCGGAATGAGATAATAGCTAAATTTGTGGTTAAATTCCCATGACTTTCCACGGTTTTCCAAGCCTGTGACAATCCTAGTAATCAAATTATTTTATATATATACACGTGTGTTTTTTAATTTTTTTTGATCAATTTCTTCCGTACTCTATTATTATTTATCTCTTATCTTAGTCTTGCGGCTCTGTATTACGGATATATCCATAGTAGAAAAGTACCTCTCTGTTAGTGTACACCGTATATCTCCGTCATTCTTCATTTGTGTATGACGGATATGTACGACGCGCCGCGGCAGTGCAGTCAACATAAATTGCCGCAGAGTCAACATAAATATTAAATATTATTTACTCCATTTGTGTTATATCAAGTTTTATGCACGTAATGCCCCACCCTGCTCTAGATAAGCCATTTCAATGTCACACAATGGAATTTTACGCCACACGCACTGTGAGTGCTTTTTTTTGTTTTATTTAGCGCGCCGCAGCCAAAGAGTTGGATGAACATTTAGTTATAAACAGAATCTCTTGATTTGGCGATCCGAAGATCCGCCATTTTTTATCGAATAAAGAATCGGACCAAGTAAAAAGTCGCAGATGTCCAGATTCTTACTTGAAGGACTCTACGCCAGATTCAGCGCACCTTAAAGGTGATAAGAATAAAACATTCGATTACAGTGATGTAAAAGAAACGCATTGACGATGAGATAATTAATATTCTGCTAAATAATATGACAATACCATCATTAGACGTTTAATCATTCAAAATGCTTATGCGCTTTTTTATTTAAATAATTGCTTTATGTACAGCAATCTTCAGCACGCGTCAATCTGTAATGCGATGATCGAATTCGAATCATTAATAAATTCATAGCCGGTAAATGAGAGTAACGTCAATGCAGATTTCTTCTCGTTACTCTCGGAAATTTGCTAACGTTAATATCGGAAATAAGCTCAAGTTATCGGGGTCTCGCGATCTTTAAGGGCATCGTGAGGAGAAACGCGTGGGAATGGAGAAGGAGAGGATTTACCTCCGATTGAGCGTCAAGGATATGACGTTGAATAAAATGAAACGGAAAATAAACTTGCCCCACCAACGCAACTTGGAAGGAACCGTTCGGAGCTCACTTCGAGAGTTTTTCATGTCGATCGATATAAAAAATATGAAAAAAGTAAGTAAACAAGTGAAAAAAAAGCAACGACAATAAAAAAAAAAATATCAACGTTAAGAGTACTTCATAAAGGTCAATTTCACGATATTTTTTTCAAAGGTTCTAAAAAATTTGTTCCCTTTTCTCTTTCAACTTTTACATCGCTGGGGAAAAATAGAGATTTACGGCAGTTACGAGATGCTCTCTCAGCACCGCGAAATATTCCCCCCTGAAAATTTCTCTCTCACTCTCTCTCGTAGCCCGGTTAGTGGAGATCACTGAGTTAATATCGAAAAGTTCGGACAGGTCAGGTTAGATCAGGATCAAGCAGAAGTTGGCTGAAACTTTTCAATTCACAACCGAACCGCCGCAACACGCGCGACGCTGAAACACGCGTTTCTCATTCGAAGCTAACTGCCGCGCGAGTTTGTTGGAATCCCAGCGATACAATTCATTAATTTATTTGCACAATTAAAACGCGGCTTTCTCCAGCAATTTTCTCGCGGGAAGAGACCGCGGAAAAAAAAGTATTTATTCATAAACTTTATTTGTTAATTTTACTTATTTAACAGAGAGAAAACTCGGCTTTTAGGAAGAGAGAAAATTTCAGAAGAAAAAAAAAAAGGAGACACGTGGCGATGAGAGTTTCCGCGTCGACCCGCCGAGGTGACCGAACCCGATGAAAACAAGCGAACGATTGAGTAACGAGTAACGTTACGCACAAAGGCAACTAAACATCTCGCACGATTCGCGGTTATTGACGCCCGATGACCGCCCGGATGGCGCTACTTTGCCAGCACCGGACGCGGCCGATTATTTATCACGCGCACCTATCGCTCTCTTCCTGATTCCTCTTGCGTACTCTTTCCGGGCTTTTCCAACATCTGTTTCCTCGTTTTTCAAATCCGAAGGGAAAAAAAAACTAACCGGGTTAACGAGGACCGATGGCGTTTCTGTCGCGCGATCCTGATGGGATCGTTCCGAGAGTGGACTCGTGGCCGACTTCTCAACCCTTTGACATACAAACAGCCGATATGACTCTTGACATTTTCCCGATCACCTTTACATACAGATATAGAAAATTATGCTTGCGTTAGCAGCGCGAGAGAACGCCTATCTCGTCTTTACCTTCGACCTCGCACCGCCGCTTCTACCTGTCTGAAACGCGCTTTTAAGCGTTGTGTGTTTTTCATTTGACGGGCGAAAGTCGATCGCTCGATCGCCCTCGTGTGAGGTTGATTCGCGCTACGACCGAAGTTAGTCGCGCGTGTGTGTGTATGTGTGTACCCCCGACGATACACATGCACAATCGGTGTGCATACTTCAGGTCTGTTCTTTATAACTAAAGTAGGTTGCATTTTTAGCCTTTAAAGTAAAACAAGTAGATCAGAAGATGGATGATTATGATCCTCCGCTGCTATTTACATTTTGTACAATAACTTTGTTAATAATCAATATTCTAAATTGAAAACTTAACCATTGCACTTGTTAAAGTGTCGTTCAATCGATTCTAGACTCAAAGTTATGAAATATTTATTACCCGAGGCATTGTTCTTGTAAAAGTGTGGTGACACTGCGTAACGAGTTGAAGAAGAGTGGTAATGTAGCCCCCCCCCCCTATTAAAACAAGATTAAAGAAATTGACTTTGTCTAAAAAGAAACCTGGTGATTTGTTGCAGATTTATATATATTTATTCCAAATAAACTCTCTTAGAAGGAACAACAATACGGAAAAATAAAATCAGTTTTGGTAGCTAAATTAGCTACGGTTAATCTTTTTCTTTTCCTTTCGTGAATGAACATAAGTATGAATTTAGCAGATGCTGACTTACTTATCAGGAGGAATAATAACCATCTTCTTCTCTATCTAAGGAAGCGTTGAGAGAGGAAAGGGATTGAAGTTCCGATAGCGACGTTAGTTCAACCATAAAGGACGGAGGTCGCGAAACCCGGTGACCGCGATTCTCAGCCGTACGCATCGCGTTCGGCGCGTACGCGTGCGGTTGAAAATCGCGGTAACCCTGACGACGCGAGTGTCAAGGTGTACGACACACCGACCCGAGTGCATACCCGTGTACGTGGTGCGCCTTTTCCGCAAGACTCCGCCCTAACAACTGCGCGGCCCGTCGAGCCCGCCGGTATCTGCGTGTTCGGTCGCCGGCTGATTCTGCGGCCGATGCAGCGCGAGCTCCGGAAAAATAGGGCCCGACTGCAAGTCCGGAGTTTAGGTTAGGATTCCCCGCTGCGACCCTCGTGGCGATTTTCCGCCAATCTTTTCCGAAGGACCTACTCTTCGCGAGTCATTCGAGCGGTTGGAAGTGAAATAAAGGCGTGCATCGTGGCGAATGACGAGTCGACGGACGGCGAGGGACGGGATCACGGGAAAGTGTAGAAAGTACAGACAGGAGGAGCAGACCTAACGTTACGTTGGACGGTCGTCGTCCGTTGGTCGTCGATAACGAAACGCACGGAGGGATCGCGACCGGTGTAATTAAGCCTTCGGCGTTAACGAGCCTCGCAGCGTCAACACGCGACTCCCCGTGTTTACCCGTGACGCGCTCACGGGCGACGTAAGGCCGTTTTTCGCGTGGCTACGGCACCGGACAATCAACCGAAGTGATTTCCACCGGGTTACGATCTCTCGCAGCGAGATATCTCGAGGAGGCAGGGACGGAGCATAAATAAACGACGAAACACGCCCGTGTGCCGCGACGGAGATGGATCTCGCGTTGAGGAACGGAGAGAGAGGGAAGACCACTCACAGAGCGAGGTTCCTCTTGAGCACGTTCTCGATGTCGGTGAGAATCTTCTCGGCGGCCGGGAACGATGCGTCGTCCAACATCGCGACTCGTGTCACATCGTCCCCGAGGAGGATCTATCAATCGTCGTCGACGACGACGACGACGGCTGCGCCAGCGATCGCACCACCCTCGCGTGTTCTCCTTTTTCTCTCTCTCTCTCTCTCTCTCGTTCGCTTTATCTTCGTATCTCTGTCTCACCGCCGCACAGTACGTCCCGATGCGGCGTACGGCGGTGCGGCACTCCGCTCTGCGGAAGCGCTAGCGAAGTGCGGCGGGCACGCTCGACTGCGCGCGACGCGAAGTTGGCCGCGAGCCGGCCGGGCGCGCCGCAGTCTCGACCGACGCACCCAGGCTGACCAACGTGCGAGGGATTCGCGACTGCGTCGCGGGATTTCAAATGGCCGCAAACGGAAATATATTTATGACCGCGTCCGAGGAAATCAAGTGTACGCGTTTGTTCTTCTCTTCCGCTGCGTTCACGGCGTATTTTCTACACGGAAAATGAAATACGAGGTCCGTTCGTTTTCGCTGCACCGCTGAACTAGTGCAATAAGTTGAAGCGAGACAAGTATATGTTTTCTCACTTCAACTTATTGCACTAGTTCAGCGGTGCAGCGAACAGACCTCGTTCGATGCTCGGGAGAAAGAGAGTGGAGGAAGATTACTAGGAAACGTGGGGAGGATAAGAAGAACGGACCTTTTGTCTGAAAAAAGAACGCACCTTGAGACAGCACATAACCTTCATTGTAGATGAACCAACGAGAGTTTGACTTTTCCGTGTTGCGGCGCAATAACAAAGACATTTTCTCATAGTGATTTGTTGATACACATTGTGACTTGTTTGTTAACGAGAAAGTATCACGAGCGGAGGAAAGTATATATTTAATTAGTAGCGACACATAGTGCGAGAAGAAATTAAAACTGTGTGAAAGAAAAAAGATCTTTGACAACTCGAGACGTCAATGAACAGTCAGGATGGATAAAATTTTCAAATCCATTCGCACAAATCGACCGACGTTGTTTAGGACTTTAACGAACGACCAATGCGTACAGTAAATAATATATTTCCCACTCTATGAGTATATACGAATTTTTCTTTACGATAATTATTTCGTTCGGCAACTGAACGAAATAATTACCCCAAGATTTGTTATTTCTAACGAACAGTTCCAAGTTCGTAGATTGCGTGTACGTGCGTGTATTCTTTTTAGGGCCTCGAATAAGTCATACACGGAGCGATGCGCATCCACGGTTAACGGATTGTTATCAGCGCGAGAATACTCGACGTAAGTTTTACAAACGATCGACACCGGCATAAATATTTCTGAACACCGACGAACGGACCGATTATGTAGCTTTTTTTTCCACAGGACTTTCCAAATTAACACCAGGTATTTGTACAATGGAAACACAGGAAGAATGGTTTGCGTGCTATCCTCTAGACACAGGCCCCTGATATCTGGTCAACAGAGACGCGATATGTTCATTCAAACGCAGGATACGCCGAATCCAAACAGCTTGAAATTTATCCCGGGGGTATCTGTGTTGGGGGAAGGATGCACGAAAGATTTCCCAAGTGCCAGAGACGCGTATTGTTCGCCCCTGGCGAAGATGTTATTCCGTATTGAAGGTGTAAAAGCCATCTTCTTTGGGCCTGACTTCATCACAGTTACGAAGCTCGATGAAGATATAGAATGGAAGTTATTGAAACCAGAAGTATTCGCCATCATCATGGACTTCTTCGCGAGCGGATTACCGATCATGGACGAATCTGAACCCGCAGCGGATACACGTATGTGTCTTTTGATCTGACTTTCGCCATAAAACGACCAGGAAAGAGTAAAGGGCACACTCTTGCTTCGTTTCTTTGGTTCTCACAGAGATCAGCGCGGACGATGACGAAGTCGTTCAGATGATAAAAGAACTGTTGGATACGCGGATACGCCCTACAGTGCAGGAAGATGGCGGCGACATTGTATTTATGGCACGTGTCTTTCCCAAATTCCAAGAGAGAACGAAAATTTATAATCATTTATAATTATGATTCGCATTACTTTGAGCGAAACTATTTGGTTGTCGCTGTTCTAAAGAATCGTCCGTACTCGTTCTTACAGGGCTTCGAGGAAGGTATTGTAAAATTGAAGATGCAAGGCTCCTGCACGAATTGCCCGAGCTCAGTGGTGACACTGAGGAACGGTGTGCAGAATATGATGCAGTTTTACATACCCGAGGTGCTCGGAGTTATACAGGTGGAGGACGAGACGGATAAAGTCGCGGAGAGAGAATTTCAGAAATTCGAGCAGAAGATTAAGAAAACGGAAGAAAGGAAAGAGAAGTAGATTTTTATGGCAATTGTTGAGCGCGATCGTCTCTCCATCGGCGTCTCGTGTAATCTCGTACGCAGTAGTAAAAATGTGTCTGCTTCAACGTTGAAGTATGTAAATAAAGAAAGCAAGGCGAGCTAGGTTTCCAAGAGAATCGGTCTTATACTTTTATACTTTTATTACAAAGCACTTATCGGGACACGCTAGATACAGAAACCTGCCAGACGCGAATGGTATTGTCGGAGTAGCCGGCGAACAGGGTCTGACCGTCGGTGGACCACGCGAGCGACAAGCACTGAGGAGGCTCCGCCTTGCTGGTCGCGGACACAACCTCGGGCTTCAATTCCTCCACCATTTCCTTGGTCTCCAAGTCCCAGATTTTGATCCACGGCCCGAAGGCGGCGCAGAGCCAATAACGATTTGGGCTGAAGCACAGCGCTGTGATGATGTCATTGTGGTCCAAGGTGTGCAGATGCTTGCCGTCATTCAAGTCCCAGAGCATGGCTTTGCAGTCCTGCGAAGGTGACGCGTCAATTTATACGCCCGATCGGAAAACTCGATTAAGTCCTGGCGTTTCATCTCGTGGTTAACTTGTGGCTTAAATTTAAGCTGATGGTAGTGCAAAAATTATATCTTTCTAGTCATGGTTGTTCATTAAAATGATGCTTCTGTAGTAGCAATTTTAAAAATTTAACAATCATAAGAAGACAAATGTTTACGTTGTCATCTGGTTAACCACAAGTCAGCTAGAAAATGGAAAACTAGGCCCAAGGGTGACTTTCGCCAACTTCGGGTTCGGTCAATCAACGGAAATCCATTAACTCAACGAAATTGACCAATTGCATCGATCAATTCGACTAATTAGCCAATGGGATTCGTCAATTCCGTTGAGTCAACCGTTGGTTGACCGAACCGAGGTTGGTGAGGGTCACCCTAAACATGATCCGGAGGAAGATATACCTTGCCACCGGATGCACAGAGCGAGCCGTCAGGCGATACCGTAACCGTGTTCAGATATCCTGTGTGACCGCTATGGTTGATCTTGAGCTTGCAGTTCGTCAAGTTCCAGACCTGCAAAATGTACCATTAGGTGAGGCAAATTTCCGGCTAATTTCCGAATTGTACAATTACGAGAGCATTGTGATACGTCAGTCCCATATCCGCAAACACTCATTAGATCAATCATTAGACCTATCGTGTATATTATAAAGAGATCATCATTCTTATGAAAGACATTCTCCGTTGTGTTTCGCGTTCGCATTTCTCGAATAACTTTTATAATCTCCTTATCCTCACCTTCACAACGCGATCCCATCCCGCGGAGACGATGATGGGATTCGCGTGGTTGGGGGAGAAACGCACGCAGCTGACCCAGTCGGTGTGCCCGTCGTCTTGTATGGTGTACTTGCACTCGGCCAGTGTATTCCACAGCTTGATGGTCTTGTCTCGCGAGCCGGAGACGATCTGACGATTGTCCACGGAGAAAGCGACGCTCAGGACATCCTGTCGTGACAAAAATAATCTCACAATTAGTCAAACACGCGGCAAGCGCGTCCGAGACCCAACTCGTCGATATCAGAGCAGTACTTACGACACTGCCGATTTAACCAGTGTCCAACCTCTTCTACTTACTCGAGTAAAAAAAAATATAAAAAAAAAAAGCTTCAGTGTACTCCTCGCTACCCTTCCCAAGGTCATAATTACGCGAGACGAAAAATCGAAGAACCATGCGTGCGTGCCGCGGTTGAGTCAAGAATCACACCTTGGTATGGTCTTCGAATCTTCTGGTCGTGCGACCTGCAGCCAGATCCCAGAGACGTAGGGTCTTGTCCCACGAGCCGGACAATGCATAGTTACCATCGGACGAGAGGACCACGTCGCTTATGAAGTGCGAGTGACCGTACAGACGCTTCTGTGGGATACCATAGTTGGCTTCGTCGCGCGTCAATTTCCACACAATCAGCGTCTTATCTGGGAGGAATAGAAAGCCATCGGTAATCAGTTATAATATTATCGTTGTTGCGGAAGTTCATTTCTAATAATTAATTCATCCCATGATTGGCTAAAAAGGGACGAAGGCAAGTCGTGGTTAGAAGAGACGGGACACGTGTTACAAGCGGGAATTCGACGATGAGTATTTCGAGGTTACATCATGCTTGTTCCGGCATGCCGCAATTGCAGATCGCGATCGATCGTAAATCGAAGTGGAAATGGAATTCGGGCTCGGTGGTAAAATAGAGAGAAAAGGGCCGAAGGCAGAAGGGAATTGAGGGATGAGGGGCATCTCGAAGCGATGTTCTTACCACGTGAAGAGGACAAGATCATGTCCGGATATTTCGGATTCGTGGCGATTTGCGTGACCCATCCATTGTGGCCGCGAAGCGTGCCACGTAGTTGCAGAGTCTCAGTCATTTTCAGCACTCCCGGACCAAACCACGTCGAAGATGCAAACGGATTCTCTCGACGGACCACAGCACAGCGCAGCGTCAAGAGTAAAAGAACGGTTCGGTGCGCACGCACATATGGAAACAGCGACCATCTTAGGGGCTGGGGGGAGGGGATGGAGGCTGGTCGACCGGTGAGTCGATGTTCGATTCTCTCGCTACTACAGGATCGATTATGTTCAGATTTTACGCGGCAGGCATGTTTCCATGTAATATTCGGTTTGCACAAATTCGTAGTTATGGATGGGTGCTTTGTGTAAAATCTACGACTGATATACGAAACGATTGTTTATAATTAAATAAATAAACAAAATAGGGCATTACCTTTTTTGACTGTGAAATGTAGACCAGATTCAACAGGCTGTAACTTCGGCAAAAATAATCATAAAGAGAAATGGTTTAAGAAGAATTTTTCAGCTCGACGTTCTTAATTGTCAAATATATTGTTCGATATGAGACTTGTCTGATTTTTGCGACGTTGCACGAATAGAAATAGAAATCTGTCCGTTAATTATTCGTCATCTTTGATTGAGATATTTTTTTTATAACCATGGTAAATCTAAAGAAATGTTCCAGTGAGCGTTCAAACGGGGTCTGCAATGAGAATTTAAGCTCTAAGGAAACTGACCAATCGCAATTGATTATTCTTCTACAATGTTGATATGTTGATTGCTCAATTTCTCCAGGCTTAAGGCTTAAAGCATTTATCGTAGACTCACTCAAGATAATATCACGCTATGAGTTAGAATTGAAATTGACCAATCAGAGCGAAGTTCACTAAACTTAAGTTCTCAATCCCTAACTCGTAGTGTGATTACGTCTTCACAACCGTGTTGTTGTTTCTGAACGCAGCCTATGAATTACGTTCGACCTATTGTTGAGTCATACTACATGCTTGATTCTCCACATACAGAAATACTGTCAAAGCCGCCACATAAAAAACATTGGGAGTTCATAGTGGAGGCTTTGAAACTGATAAAAAAATAATGAATTAGTTATAACTTAAATTCAAATCTTTTTTTAGCCGAGACTCCAACTATTTAGCGGAGAATCAAACACGCGGTATTCGGGTTCCCCATGGCGCCCCGGTGAGTCGCTACCGTCGCATCGTTGAATCGGTTTGTTACAAATGACCCGCTATATTTTATTAGTTCCAAAGTTTCTAGTAGTTCCTGTTTTTATAAAGAATCGAACACGTAGTGCGAATTAACGTTCAGGTCAGAGGTACTAATATTTTCCAAATTTTACGATTCAACAGCAAATTAAGAAATTTATATTTTCGAATATTTAAAGTTATATTCATATTAATATTTATATTATTATTATTATTATTCATATTAATATTTATAATATTTATGGTTATATTTGTTAGTTTTACGATTAATCTCGGCGACTCAGAAGGCCTCTCGTTTACAAGTTATATGACTCAACAGTAGAAATATTCTTTATTGTCAATTAATATAATTTAACGGCAGGTTGGACGTATTTCCATGCCATCATAAAAAATGATCAAGTTTTAACGGGCTGTATCTTTTGTAAAAACAAGAATAATGAGATAATTCAAAGAGCATTCTAAAACTTGAAGTCTTTACTTTTCAGATATGTTGTGAGAAAATGTTATTTTTGGGCTTTTGCCAAGGCCCGAACGCTGAACGCACTTATAGCGATATTATAGCGCTGACAACTCAACTTATTAGCAGTTCTGAAGAGAAATTGTGCTATATGCTCGCGTGATTATCGATTTTTCCTAACAGAACGCTCTTATCACCGCATTTAGAATACGAGCGATACCGAGAATATTCATATCTCTTGATTTGTTTACGCGCTAATATCATTATATGTACTTTCGGAATATAAACCATCAAGTTTAATAAAGAACAGCGACCAACTTCCATATTGAAAGAAATCAGTAAACTTCATATTCCATATATTTCAATAAAAAGACAATATATTAAAAAATTAGAGATCTCGAGCTGCAAACTTATTTTTTCGCCTTCATATTACGATTAATTTCGACGAAGTTACGGCTCGTTGAATCTGGCCTACATTTCACTATTAAAAAAAGTGATTCTCCCTTTGATCTAATTTAATTATAAACAATTTAATTTAACGTACATAACGTACATGATATTGATAGAGAATTCGTGTTTTCGATACCGAAAACAATAAGATACAGAAAGCACACAAAGTATTTCGGTTCCGAGCCTCGATTTTTTAGCCGTTCGCTCACGACGATAGCCAAGCCGGCAGGGCAGTAACGACTTTTCGTCGTTCCTCCGCAGTTTTTCTTTTTTTTTTTTTTTCAAACCACCCCCGTCTCCAACGAGGACGCGGACGCAAGACAGTGGAACGTGAAATAACGCCGAGAGAGGGGTTGGTGGAAGCGCTCGTGGAAAGGCTCGCACAAAGAAAAGCGCGAGGGACGAGGGGTCGCCGCCGTGGTGCGGGATAATGCTTAACAAGCCGACTTGAAAGAACGGCCGCCATTTTGAGTCAATACTTGAAAGTCTTTGCTCATTAAGAATATTTTAAGTCTACCTCCGGCGGCGCGCGCGCTACGAACGACGTTGCTGCTCCCCCCCTCCCNCTCCCCCTCCTCCCCCTCACCCCTTATAACCGGCCTAACCGGCGCCATCTCGCCGCCTTTCCCTTCCGCCTCCATTCCGACTTTCTTTTTCTTCCCTCTCGCCTTCCTCCACTTCCTTCGCTTCCCCCGCTCGTAGGGGCGGCTGCACCCTCGAGGATGGAAGTTATTTACGTAGCACTCGAAGCACGCTCCACCGTCGCGACCCCGTAGCCGACCCCTCACCCCCGACGTTTCGATCTGGTTTCTCCTTTGCCACGCTAACACGGTGCCCCCGCCTCATCGTTCCCTCGCTCTCGCCCTCGTCCTCGCCCCCTCGCCTACACCCTCGCCCTCGTCGGCCACACAGCAGCCAGCTGGCAGGGGAGGATGGCTAGTGTCAAACCCATCCCCCCCTCCCGGGTCGTCATTTCCCCGACGAGGGATGAAGAAATCTCCGACTTCGTCATGGGGCCTACATCTTCGCGCGCCCTCCCAGCGCGATGGATAAACACCGTCTCCCATCTCGCGATGTTTTTCCTAATTTCTACCCAATTTCGCTTTTAGCATTTCAATTTCTGCCCCCCCCCCCCC